GAGAGAGAGAGAGAGAGAGAGAGACCATTCCGCCAGAGATCTTTCGGTGAGATGCGAAATCCAGCCGACGTACTTCTTAACTATAGCTTGGCGAGAGAGTTAGTTACTTGGTTAAGCCTAGAGTTAAATTTATACTGATAAACGATAAGAGATTCTTTGCGCAAAGTGTAAAGGAGATTTATCTCCAACCTGAGAATGATGCACAAAATAATCCTATGAAGAAAAAAAAAAAAAGCGAATCAAGAGAGAATAATGAAATTCGATCATGAAGTTGCGAAGTTGACTCTAAATTAGAAAAATCTCTTGCGTTATTTTTTTTTTTTAATCGTCTTCCTACTTTTTTTCACTCTTTCACTTTACGAAATTAAATGATTTTTATCTTTGATAGAAGTTAAAATAATCTTGATAAATAAGTCTTTTTGAATTCTTATGATGTATAGATTTTATTTCACTTTTTAAATAATATACGCAAGCAATTTGTATATAAATTTCTTAACTTCTCTCTTAACTTCTTTCTTAAATTTCTTAAAATAATTTGTAAATAATAATAATTTCCTATTTCTTAATTCCCGGCGCAATTCCAAGCGAAATAACACGATAATATGAAATATGTCGAGTTTCGAAACGACGAGTTTCTCAAATATATACCGTAGCGAGAATAATATTCTTTTATTGTCTGTAATAACGGGGACTAATGTCCCGTCGAACTAACACTCGCACTCGAGGAGAAAAGAAACCACTCTCTCGGGAGTAAAATCCGAATACGCATACTCGAAAGGCAAAGGTTAATCGCTACTATTAATTTAGCATGGTAATAATTCCTTTTTGATAAATCGGGTAAACGACGCCAAACTCTTTCTGATCACGCGTGATCCCTCGCCGGAATCCGACAAACTCCACGCGTCGACTCTCGTCGCCGCAAATGTAAACTCTATTTTTACATTTAAAGTATTCTACGTTCGAAGGACGATAGAACATAAGGGGGAAAGAGAGGGAGGGGGAAAGAGAGGAGCGGGAACTGTTCGTCCGGAGAAGGAGACGTTCCCGATGTTCCGGGACGGAACGTCTCCCAGGGTCCACCGGATCACCCACCTCGCCGTGACCAGGAAGGGTTGATGCTCGTCGTTCGCCATTGCGACTGAGGTTCGATATACGCGGATAATACGCTCGATTATTTGCAAAGCGATAATTAATTAAAACTTGATACTGTGAAGTATGTTCCCACTGGTGTCGCATGCGTGCAAGATTGCGTTAATGTTTAAAAGCGACGCGAGGCCTACGGATGCGAGAGGAAAGGG